ACACACACACATTGATCATTGGGTGTGAGGTCAATTCGTTTTGGTTGTTTTAATTTGTTTTCGAAATGTTTTTTCCTCTAGTTCTGTTTACCGCTGTCTGATCTGGTTCTTTTTTTTTTTTTCTCTCACCTGATTCCCGTCTCGTCTAATGCATTCCCACAAACAGCTTTTGCAGTTGTCCGCTTTCCGTCCCTCGCCCCCTCTCACCCCTCCGTGTGTGTGTGTACGTTTGTGCAAGTGATTAAATCATGATAAAAATAAAGAACCAATATTTATATATGTACACGGAGTAATGAAGTTTCGCTTTGCAACAAACGTATACCAAGAATACTCATCTAATCCAACACGTCTGCACAAACTAGCAGATAAACATGAACCTCGCTTTGTGGTGTGCTTAGCCAATTTTCCACAATAAGCAGGTGAGCAGTTCGGTTGCGTTGCTTTTGCAGGTTCGAATTCAAACAAAATCGATAATTGCACACTGAATAGTATATTCGGCGTGTTCTCAGCTTTATTTTTACATTTCTAGTGCGCTTTGTACATTTTATCAAATTACAATAGATGTGTCTACATATCCTTTGTCGAGAGAGACAGAAAGAACCATAAACCAATCCATCCGAAAGAACTAAATCTATAACTTTAATCAGAAAACTATCGGAATTTAAGATAAATTTGTCATAAGCGAAGCACACTTTGAACAGTGAGTTAAATCAACAATGAACTAGGTCTTATTGATTTTGAAGAAGAGACAACGTGATATTGAGAGACAGAGAGAGAGAGAGAACGTAACAATTTGCTCACAACTGGGACTGCAAAACGTGTATTTTAGCCTCGAAACCCGACATTTCTCAGTTTCCGTTCCCAGGGGAACACACATAAGTAAGCATAGCTAGCGAGATCCATGGAGGACAAAACCAATGTCCAGTGATTTGCATCGATCATCAGACAAGATTAATTTCCATAGAACTCAGAATGCATTCAACATATGCAGCAACGAAAACTCAGGAATTCCTAAGGATCAAAATCGATCCATGGCAATCAAGAGGAGAACAATCTGTAGTTCCTGTTGTCTGAAAAATGAATAGATCAAACCGAATACGAACTGGGCTATATAAGCTGTTCTCAGCTATTCACCTTTTTTATATGCGTCGAGTTTTTGTGTTATTTTTTGCTGGAATTTCTTTCTGAAGACAAACGTGATTGAATAAGCGAGAGGTGGGTGGGATGGGACAGCGGATTGTTATCAGTGCAAGTTCCGGGTGAACCTATGCACTGATATTCAAAGCATAATGGGTCAATGCTGTAGTCGAAATAGGCATGGATTACGGATCACAAATCACGATCGCAACTGAAGCATAGAAGCACACACTGGAATCTCCCGTTACCGATACAGAGGAAAAAGATCACAGAAGCAGTAGTTCCTTTATTGAAAGAGATCAATGGGATTAAATAATATGCAAAAAGAAATATCACTGATCAAACGAATATCATCCAATCGCCGTTATCACCCTTTGGGTCCCACGACTTCTGTTGGCCCATGATCCATTGTACAGAAACTGGAGCGCTTAGGTGCTTGGCTGGCATCATCTGAGACGGTTGACTCACCACATTGGAATTTGATTGAAGCATCATGTATGATTTACATTCGCCGCTAGTACAGGTTCAAACGGTGTTTACCGTCTTCTGTTTCGAGATCCACAGAGACCTGCTGGGTAGAACGCATCGAAAAAACGATCTGCCTGATTTATTACAACAGATCTTTCTGCTCGAACTAGTTCACTTGACCTATTGTTGGTCATTCTTATTTTCTTTTGGTTTTTGTTTAGTCAACGAATTATGTAACATAAACCGACTGCCTACCGTTTCTGCTATGTATGGCATGATTAGCCATACTCGCCTAGGCAGATTCACTGGGATCCTGTGAATCATCTTAAGTGCCCCTTCAACATGAACCGAATGTTCCTTTGTTGATCAGCTGCTCCACTATTAAGTAATAGACTAGTTTTTTGGTCCTTTTCTCAACCGGGGTGAACTGCGCACAAAATATGTCGATTATACAGGCTCTTACCGTGGTCAGACAACCTGACTTGATCAGGTCTTGCTCAGATGATCAGATCGAAATGGAGTGGCCGAGTTATGTTCAATCAATAAATGAATAATGGAATAGAATTATTCGCTTCCATTGATGAACTTCGTCGTGTACAAGACCACTGAAGCTTGATCTGAATACTAGGAGGCACTGTACAGCTGTTTTGACCTGGTTGGATCTCGGTAGCATTACGAATACTTCGGCCGAACTGTTTCGACAAAGATCAATGGAACTAGCCCGACTGCGTGAGGGAAGAACCAAGGGACACAAGTCGGATGTAATTGGTAACTGGTTCGTNCCCCCCCCCCTCACCCCCCACAACCTGTCCGGTCTGGATTCAACCTCTCGATTTGTCTAAAGGCATAAACTTAGTGCACTGGAATCGTTCCAATGCTCGCTCTGTACTACCGCCACGTACAAACGAAATGAAATTGTTATAGGAACCAGTAGCCTAAGCCCCCAGGCTTAAATGTGATGATGAGGGTCGTGATAGAAAAGCTGTCCACCGCGAACTAGGAAAGGGTTAGAACCCCGAAACACAAAACACCACTCTGCATAGACCGCAATAACCTACCTAGCATAGAATGCTCATTTACATATTTTTCATTGTTTTGTTCTATTTAGGCTTATTTATTTGGGTGAGTTCACACACTCATTGTGCTGGTCATCTCCAATGGAACTGCTGACAACGACAAGGTATGCGGTTCGAACCATGGCCGGGAAGTGACAGCATTACGGTCCACTCTGCACGGACCATTACAAATAAAAACCATTCCACAAGTGAAATTGATTCGTTTTTCCATGTAGGATATCAGCAAATAAGTAGTTATGATGTTCCTTCTACCTAAGGATTCAAACCAAAATGGTGCTTCCCTACAAAATCCAACTTTTGGACATCATCTGCGAAACGTATGAATCCATTCCAGGCGGGTGCAATTCAGTATGCACCAC